TCCTAGGAGAGGTGACCTTTGCAGTCATGCCATATGTGTCCTTTCTCTCTTTGACTAAAAGATATTGACAATTCTGAGGAAGTGGACATCTGAGCAGAGGAGAAAGGTCTTGCAGTTGTCTTGATTGACAGACTGTAATGTGAATGTAAAACTTACTATTCATAGCAGGCAAGAAGGTAAGTGCCTGCCAGTGCTTCCTCAGAACTGCCCACAGGATACAATTCCAAGAAAATAAGCCTTATTAACTCCTCTCCTTTCTATATAATAATATTGCTAAATTATTAATTCTCATTACTTTCTGGAGTTTGCCTTTTACATCCCACTCTTACAAAGGGAGCAGCTTCTTGCAGCCATTTCTTGCTCTGATGATGCAGTCTCCAGCTACTCACAATTTTGGATTGAACAATACACTGACAAAAGCAGCACTGAGGACCACGGTTCAATCTTGTCTTCATGAAAATTTAGAAGGATAGTTATTGACAGAACATACCCTTGTGTATATCTGTAAAATATAACATCTGGGCTGATAAATTAAATTTTCTTTGTTGTAGACAAACACTCTGAAACCAAAATGCCTTCCTGATGAACTGGTGAAACATCAGCATAGGTCTTGTCTGTATTGTCTGTGGAAATGTGCTTGAAATTTGCTGTCTAGCCTGTGCTCTTGATGTCATGTTTTCTCAGGAAGATGAGAGGGTGCAAAATCTTCTTCTCTTTGCATATTACTCTGCTTTCTGGGCTTTCTTCTTCCCTGTGTTTTGAAAGCAGACATAAACAAGTGTTAATGAGCAGTCATGAAGGAGCCTCTCCAGAGCCACCACACATGTGAGGCAGAGAGGGTACCAAGTCAGTAATTCTGGCTGTGTGTATGATCCAGGAAAGGCATCTAACTGTTCTGTGTAGGTGAACAACAGCAGCAGTTGCCAGTGCCCTGTCTAGCTCTGCAGGAGTTGCCAAGAGCTTGCCAGCTTTCTTTGAGTCAGTGGTAGAGAAAGAGGGAAAGAATCAGCAAAGAAAAACAGAATTAAACATAAAATAGGCATTTAAAATATGGTATTGCATGTTCCATATACTTTTTACATATATTCAGGCAGCACTTGGATGTTTTGGATTTTCTGAGTTTCAGCTCTGTTCTGCCTTACCTACCAACTTACCTCTTGGGCTTGTCATGTCTTTGCAATAATATCCTTTGCCTGGCCTCATCCACATCAGCAGTACAGATCACCACAGGTGGTGGGAACATGGTATGCTTTGAGCTCTGCTTCCCTGGGCATCACCAGATAGCTGCCTTGTTTCATACTTATACCCTCATGGAAAATGTTTTCACTCCATTAATGAGCAGTGGAAAAAAAACCCTGAAAAAAGTATTGAAAGTCATAGAACTTAGGCTGTCATACACAGGGATTTATGAAACTTAGGGTGTTTAAGAGCCATTAGTAAAATAATTGCAAGATGAGTCAGGAAAGAAGGAGGTGTCATGAGGAAAAAAGAACTGCAAAACCTTCCATAACAGAATGAAAACAAACAGAATTCAAATGCTGATTCCAGGCACACTCTGCTAGAAAAAATTCTGTACAGCTCCTATAGAAATTGTTCCACAGGGAGGGTTTTGGTCCAACAAACACACCAGCCAAAACAACCAATCTAAATTTGTTGGGATATCTTTCACAAGGTAGCACTCACATGAGGAATTGAATCCCTTGCCCAGGACATTCAGTTGCTGTTTGGGTGGCTAAAGGGGCTCTCTTGCAATGGTCTCTGTAATGGTGTCTTTGTCTGCATCAGATGAGATTTTGAACTCCTGTTCTGCTGAATTTTTTGAATCTGTCTGGTCCTACTTGCTCAGTACATACCATGATGCTTTGACAGTGATTACCACAAACTGTACAAAGCTTTTCTTAACGGTCTTAACCAGCTACAAAAGATTGCTGTGTTTCCATTTCTGCACCTAGGAGAACAGTTTCCATGGAACATCTACAAATGTTTCACCTGTGTGTAGCTGCATCTGCTTTACTGCAGGAACTGCCTGGAAGGAGCTCACATGTATGCCCCCTTCTCTTCTTGGGAAGATGGATGTTTATTTGCACATCCTAGCATATAAATAGCACCTATCATAGGCCTATACACAGCAGGAGCTATTTGCCTAATTTCCAAGACTGTCCAAAATGACCATCTGTACAGTTTTAGCAAATAATAAAGCATTAGTTTTGTTGTAGAGGCAATTGGGTGCTCAGCCACTTTATGTCAAGTCTGTCCATTGTGTCATCTATGCATCAGAGTCCAGCCTAAAAGGTCCAGGCAATTAATGTCTAAGGTGATGGAATACCATCATTGCCTTATATCCAACTACACCACTGCTATGACAGCAATTTTCTTCTTATATCAAAATCATATCTGAAATTCCATAGAAATCACCACTGCTGTACTTTATTTGAATCAATTATTTTGTGCTTGACACTCTGTAACCCTCCATTTGACTTGGAGAATGGGTGTCTTTTCATGTTTTTTCAGTATGTTCTTATGCAAAACATCCTCACCATGATAGTGAGCCTGTTTTCTTGATCTTATCCTTGTTACAGTATTTCTTGGCATGGACCTCTTCTCTTCTTTGTGACTTTTCCTTTCATTTTCTGCTTTTCTCTGTCCATGTCTCTTACCTAGATATCATATCTGCTATTTCATTTTCTGATATGCTCATTATTCCATCTTTATTACTGTAAAAACTGTTATACTCCTAAATGTTCTTCAGATTTAGTGTTCTTCCTATCCTCTCCAAAGCTTTGGTGTAGCATTCCCCCATTGTCACTCAATCCTTCTGCCCTGTGGTTCTGCTTATTCCTCTGTGGAACAGCTGCCTTCCTCCTCCTTCCTGTGGAGAAGAATCTAAGAGTTGTGGAAGATTCTTGACTGTGTGGTTGGGCTAGAGTTGCATCTGGGTTTCAACACAGCATACTGAAATTGTGGAGGATCTTCCTTTCCCCAAGCACCTCCCAAATGATCTGAACAGCTTTGTCCTGCATGGAGCTCTGCAGGAGGGCCAAAGCCACCAGCAAGTGATGCTACACTGGCTTTCCTCATTTTCCTTCTAGTTTAGAAGAAAAGAAATGTGCGAGAAAAGCTAAACTAAAACAATATTATATAGATTAACACTATATCCTTGTATGTAATTGTAGAAGGTCTTTATTATTCACAGTTTTCCTGCTTTGTAGAGAAATGTGCAATGGAAAAGTTTATATGGCAATGTATTCTCATACTGGTGAGTTTACCCTTACACTTCTTCCTGATACTAACAGAAGTCATATGACCAAACGAATTCCTGTACAGTATTTATAGCAGTCGTTATCTAAGCTCCCTATGAACACTAGCTTTGGCCAGTACTTAGCTCCTACACATTTAAACATTTTAGTACTTTGTGATACTTCAGTCCAGCACCCTTACACATATTAAAAATACGAAAAAATTCAGGGCAGAGTTGAATTTGTACATTGCTTATTACTTCTTGCTAGGTTATCATGCTAAGCTAAATACAATTATCTCCAGTAATTCTAGGGTAGAACTCAAACTGCAAAAGCCTCATGGAAAACAGTTATAGGACTGAATGTGTAGATTACATTCTGTTTAGATGGCATACTGAATACATAATACTATTGTGACCAAAGTACTTGCATTTAAATTTCATGTGGCCTTTCAAAACACAATAAAATAAAACATTAAAAAAAACCCAAACCAAACCACCAGAACCACAAAGATCTGTTTTCTGTCCTTCTGCCAGGAGTGTCAAGTAATTGAAATTTTCTGACAGGGATTTTTCTCATAATTAAACACAGTGGTAATTGCACATTAATATTTAGATTTAATCAGAAGGAATCAAAATAGTTATGCAAAGGCTAAGCCAGACTGTTGTAAAGGCTTCTGTAAAACTACCAGTGAATCAGATATTTTATAAACGATTTCAATATTGAACCCATAGGCAGTGGAAAGACAAGAATGGAAGAAAGTTTTGAATTATCAGGGGACAGGTGAACAATGCTATAACTGGGGAAAAATGTAGAAAAAGTCCTATAAAATAATAAATGAAAGAACACAAATGCTTTGCAAAGGAAACAAGCACGTGGGAAGACCCAGCATTAGTAGAAGTCTTCTAGGTTGCAGGCTGATGGCCAAGCTGCAAACCTGGCCTAGATGAATGAGACACACGTGGGAGGTGAGATGTGCTGCAAATGGGGACAGAGAACATAACTTAGGAAAACTGTCTCTGGAGAGCTCAGAACAGCTGTCTCTTCCCCATAAAAACTTTCAGTGACCCTTAGGGCTAAGGAAAGCTCTGTTTTTTGCCTTTGGGGTAATCACTGGTAATAAATAGATAAAAAGTCCTTCTATATAAATGAATTAAGATGTTTTCTTCCTTGCGTGTATTTCTGTTTTTTGGTTTTTTGTTGCTGTTGTTGTTTTTTAATTAGTCCTGTTTGTGGAGTTGAGAATCCCTTTGATCTCATGGATTCACATCTAACTTTAGTAAATATCAAATTGCAAAAATATTTTCTTGTCTTGCTTGGTACTTTCCCAATCATTATTTTGTATTTTGGCACCACCTTAATAGCACAATGGAAATAGCTATTTCCAACTGAATAATGCTCAGAGGAACATAATAGTGAGAGATGGAGCAGCAGATTACTCATTCCCAATGGCTGTAGGGCATTCCTAAAAACAGGCATTCCTCTGAAACAGGTATCAATCTTTAGATTAAACTGTGTTGAAGTACAGTTTTTCTAAGGGAATATATTTGAAGTGGTTGTAACTTTATCTAGCCTTGTATAAAGCCAGAAACACTAGTGTACTTGCTCTGATTGTGTTTTGTGTTACAATTTCAACTGCTCTTCTTTCATATGTGTACTCTCACGTGTTTCCTTTCTTCATGTCTCTTGCTCAAGAGAAGTTTATATATTTATTGGAGATACCGAAATATGCCTAGGACATTAATATGTTGTTTATTTTCTTAGGATTTGAATTTTTTGAAACAAGTGCCAAGGAAAACATTAATGTCAAGCAGACGTTTGAGCGACTTGTGGATATCATCTGTGACAAAATGTCAGAAAGTCTGGAGACAAATCCCACCATTGCTGCCAGCAACCAGAACACACAGCTAAAGGACACCCCTCCTCCACAGCAGCCCAACTGCAGCTGCTAATGCAGCTATCAGCAAAGGCAGCTCCAGTGTGTTCTATTGCCAACAGAGTATTTATGAATGGTCTATATGCCTTTATTTATACTGTCTTATTAATTTATTTGGGAGAACAGTCTTGTTTTACATCAAGCTGTTTGGATATGCATATGGGGATAGAGCAGTTTTTAGTCTGAAAGCTGATCCATGTTTTAGAACTTGGCTTTTGCATGCAGGGTGTATATTAACTTCTCTTTTCTTTTTACTGTTTTCCATCACACTTCAGCTGGTGCCATGCCCTCAGACTATGTTTGCCTATAATTGTCTCTCGCTTCGTCAGTTTCAAGCTATATAGTTGAATCTTTAGGGTAGTGGTCAGGGTGTTTTGAGCTAGCTTCCCAATGCCACTTGCATATTTTCCCGACTGAAAATGAATTTAGAAGTATTCCTGTAGTGAGCCAATCCCTCATTCTGTCCAGATCACTTGTACAAGGAGCACTTCCTGGAGCACATTGCCTTGGCAAACCAACACTCACTATGTTACACATCCTGGCTGATTGAAAACTGCAGAAATTAGAAGGAAGTTAGATCCTGGGCCCAAAGCCATTAAAATTCCCTGTGAATTTCCAACTGGATGTGGATATTCAGTCGAGACTCTCAGAGATATTAGGTACTTCATCCTGTTTGGATAGGTAGTGTATTTACTTTTACATAGGAGCTGCATGTCTATCTAAAATTTTTCTGAAACTGGACTTAATTTCTCATTCCATCATTATGGAGATCCCAGTCTTACCTACCCCTGTCGTAAAAGGCTAGTTACCTCCTTCCATTTCTGCCTGCATGAGACATTAACCACGTAGTCCTATATTATGTCTGACAGAGCCAAATCCATTGTGTTTGGTTGTTAATAGCCAAAACCTGCCTTGTCACGTGGCTGCATGCCTCAGTTTTCAGGAATTTCCCATTCAGTCACTGAGACAGCTACCACCACAGTGGCTGCAAATGACTGTATTTTACTCAGACCTATTGCAGAAATGCTGATGGTGTCAGTGAACTGAAGTTTGACCTCATTTTTTCCATTTATTTTGGCAAGAGAATTGGTATTTTTTAAAACTTTAGGAGTAATAAAAAATTGTCAACATTTCTAATCTTAGGCTGAATGCCTTGAAAAGATCAGCAAAAGACTGTGAAAGGAGCAGAATAAAGTACAAATAAAGTACAAATTATTTTATGATAAACTGTTTAAAAAGTTATATTTCACAGTTTTTACTTCTCTAGTAATTGGTAGAAGATTCTTACATCTGTGTCTTGAAGTACTTTGTGCAACTTCTTTACTTGAAAGTGACTTTTTTAAACTAAACAGTATAATTGAAGAAGCACTGATTATTTTATTTTTCCAATTAAACAGAATTTAAGACAAGGTTGACATTTTTTAAACTGTCAGCAATAGAAAAAATCTGAAAAATAAAAGGAAGTAACACATAGTACACTGAATGACTTACAACTGCAAAAAAGCCTTCTTTACAGTTTATATTTTTTGAAGGTAACTTATAGAACTCCTGATACACACTAAGAGAAAATGGCCACTTTAAAAAAAAATCATTAAATAATCTAAATACACTTTGGCATAGTAGAAGTTACTACCAAACAAGGCATATAGACACATGTAAAATAGATATTCCAGGAGGGTTCTACCTGGGTTGCCAAATGTAAATGAATTGCTACTGTCTTCAGTCTGGGTATTTAAACCATGTCTATCCTCTTAGCTAGTTTATTTAACAGCTGTTTCCCCTGGTCGACATGGAGACAGATTTGCATCCATCAGGAGAAAGCACCCTCCTTTTAGAGTGGAGAACCAGCCAGGTGGAAGAGGTATGTGCTATCCAAACCGTGATCCTGTCTCTCTCAGGTCCTTTTTTCCCTCCCCCATTCAAGACAGCATGTCAGCTAAGAGTGCTGAGAGACTTTCCCTCGAACATTTTCACCCACTAGGAGCCAGATGATTGGAAAAAACAGAAGTGATACAAAGTTGAGCAAGTTTCATTTGAGATGGCTACTGGGCAGTTTTCCATGCTTTTCTTGTTATGACTGTGATTCCTGCTTGAGAAGAAGGAGCAGGAAAGCCTTGAGAGAGAATTTAGCTTCAACTCTCAAGTTCTTTGGACAAATCTTAGGTGGTATTATTAGTCAGAACCATCTGAGGCAAGGAGGGGAAAGACATAATCACATTGTCAAGGGTCTTGGGCATATCTTGAATCATGCAGCATGGCTAGAAGTGCAAGTATTCTTCCAGCTTTGCTCTGTGATGTTTGATGTTAGATGGTTGTCTCCTGTGCACAATGCACTAAGGAAAAATTACTTTAAGGTGTCCCTTGCTGCAGCCATACTTTGCTTGTACTCCATTGCAATGAATTTAAGACCCTCTCTGCCAGGTTATGACCATTTAGACTCTAATTGGTGGTAGAAATACATTATTAGCATATATCTTTTTAAACAAATTGAGTGGTAGATAAATAGTTCTTTACATAATGGGATTAATTAATTGCTTCACATTTTGCATCAGGGGTCTGGGCAGAAGAGTAACAGCAAAATCTAAGGCGAACACCTGCTTCAAATTTCTGAGGCATTTAACCTGCTAGGCATCCACATATATTTGGCTTCTGCATGAGAAGGGGTGGCTGGAAGAAGCAGCTCTCAGAGTAGTGATGTTCCTTAGAGTGTTAAAAATGTGTTAAAAAGAAAAACTCATCTGAAATACAGCAGTAGAATGAGTCGATATCTAAAATCTCCTTGAAACTTTGTGCCAACACTCAGATATTGTCATGGAGTTCAGAGTTAGATTAATTTTTAAGATGCTCATATAAAATACTTGGAGTTTTTCAAGATCAGACTGTCTAAAACACTGGGAAAACCACTCAGCCCTCTCAGCTGACACTGTTTTGAGTAGAAGGTTGGAAAAGATGGCCTGCTGTGGTCCCATTAAACCAAATTTATCCTATCCAGACTTTCTCTGAACTTGAAAATATGTGGAAGTTCAAGCAGGCTTTTTCTTTTCAGTCTGGGTTACCTACTGTTGGAAAAGTAAGCTTTGATTTTTCATCACAGATTGGCTTTTGCAGTCACATGCTAACGAGAATTACTGAGTTTTCTGCTATAAAGTTGGTCACATTTAGATCATGAGCATCATGATCTCAGTACCTCTCTCAACTAGAACTTGCCTTTTGTAGAGAAACAGTGAAGACAGAAAAGTTTTTGAGAGCTAACTCACTTTGCCTTCCCCAAACGTTCCAAGAATTCTGAAGGGCCTAGCAGTGTTAGAATTTTCATTCTATCTAAAATTAGGCCTTGGCCTCCTATGGGATAGAATGTTAAATAGCAGCCTGTGTCTGGTTCAGCTCCTCTTGACTTACCTTCTAGAACTGCAGTTTTCTTGAATTCAGGTAGGCTGAACATTTTTGAAGAACCTGTCACAACTTGGTCAAGGGCCTAAATTTAAACGATCAATGCATTTTTCTTCATATATATCCAGTAGTCCCTGATTATGAGTTTCTCGAGGAGACAAGCAGGTTTTGATTATATCCCGGATCTATCCAGTAGAGTGGCACAATTCCTTCAAGTACCAGGCTACAAAGCACCATATTTTGTGATGGGAGAGGGGAGGGCTCAGAGGAAAACTGGGATAGCAGAAACAAAACTACTTTCCGCCTCATCACAAATATTAGTATAAAAAGTTCTTACACACCTTGCATTAATTTATTGTCACTTTCAACATAGAATTAAGACTGAATGTCACAGCAAATCATTGGTCCAGCCATAGATACCCCCTTCAGCTGAGATTTATCCACTTGGTGAGATACAGCAGTTGATACATAGAGTATGTTAAACTTCTGAGAGATGAGATGCCTTTGGCAGAGAGTCTGAGCTCCATAGTGCCAGCTGAAGCTGAACTAACACAGCACAATCCTTTTTCCGAGTTTTGATCTAGACTAAAGCTTATAGCAGCAGGCTAATCCTGCGCATGGGCAATGCACCCGCCTTATCATGCTCTGACAATGTGTTGCTTACTGCACCTTCAAGCTACTGGTCAAAAAATACCTTGGGAGCACCCAGGAGCATGGGGATTGATTGGTTCCTGTGGTGCACCAACCTGCCAAACAGCTAGCCAGCCCGGCTGGGTTGAACATTCAGATGCATGTTTTTGGTTATTTTAAGAGTTCATGTTCACAAGTTACAAGTGCAACTGACTTAATACTGTATGTGTTATTTTTGATGATGGTGGTTAGTTTATTTAGACTTGTTCATTTGGTGATTTAAATAAATATGAACTAGCCTAATTTTCTGTCAAAAAATACTCTTTGAACAGCTGCGTAAGTGACTGTTACCTGGAAATGTTTGTTCCTTTGTGCTTATACTTAATGCAACACCTAAAGAAATTACCTGAGCAACTACATCTATGTGGCCTTTTCCAGAGCATCAGTCTGAAAGATTAAATTTTCTTCCCAGTCTGCTCAGCTCTGCATATTCAGCTGTACCACCTGCATCTTCTTTATTTTAGAAACGAAGTGCTATTTCAGGATGCACAACATTTGCTGGAGTTTGAGCCTAACTTTAAGAATTATTTAAATTTGCCATTTTTAGGGAAAAAAATAGCAAAAGCTCTACATTTGCTGGTTATTCATTTGTTTCTTCAGAGCAGACAAATGATGTTGTAATTGCATTCCAAGAGAAGCCCCCTTACAAACTCCACCCCTCCTGAGCTACTCTTTTCTATATTTGTTTTTTGAGAAGTAAGTTTTATCATTTAACTTTTTACAGGCACCAACTAAATTTCAATTGTGGTGACAGACCAATTCCTCCTTGGCCTGTTTCATAGAGACTCACAATGTATGAGCCTAGTTCTTCTTTAGCATGACAGATTTAGCAATGTGAGACCATGAGTTTGAAGCCTCACTGATACAACCTCATGGGGTTTAGCAACATATCCTCACTTATGCCAACAGGGGAATAAGTTGTGTTAAGTTGCACCATTGATCCATACATTC